AAGAGACAAGTGAAGCCCATCCTTTGACCAAACGTGTGCTAAACAGTTGTGGTATCTCCCCTTTTGCCCTTGGCTATTCACATTTCCTATATCCTCCTATCGCGCCTTCCCAACTACAATTTTTACTGGGCTTTTTTTGATGTAGTGTGGTGTGCTCCTTCGAGCGGCATTCATGGAAACCCTTCACACTCCACACTGTCGTTCTCACCCCCTTAACCCTTGTGCTCGGAATGTTGATCAGAGTCTGTCATATTGCTACGTAGTCCTTCCCTGAGTCCTATCAGAGTCTCTCTCTTGCCCCGTATAATCCGTCTGCTATCACCCTGGTACATATATTTCACTCGACCCCTGTCTCCCCATCTGTACTACTCGAGGCGTTATTCGCCCATCCCTGCGCAATGTGACCACAACGTTTATGTGTTTGGCACACATCATTGAACCTGATCAAAGCAAGTAGTACCACAACATTTGTGGGTTGGCACACAGGATAATAGGGTATGTCAAGACTTGGTATTAGGGATAGAGACAGGATGGACTAGGCGGCGATTGGAACTAGTTGGCTGACAGTAAGTTTTACAAAAGACGTGGTCCATGTAGCAAAGGCATGCCCACTAGACTTACTCAGAGGCTTTATCCTCGAATAACGCCTCGAGTAGCACAGATGGGGCGACAGGGGTCGAGTGAAATACCTGTGCCAGGGTGATAGCAGACGGATACTACGGGGAAAGAGGGAGACTCTGATAGGACTCAGGGAAGGACTACGTAACAATATGATAGACTCTGGTTAACATTCCCAGCACAAGGGTGAACGAGGTGAGAACGACAGTGTGGAGTGTGAAGGGTTTTCATGAATTCCGCTCGAAGTAGCACACCACACTACATCAAAATAAGTACGGTAAAAATTGTGACAAGGGAAGCTTTATAGGAGGTTATAGGAAATATAAATAGCCAAAGGCAGAAGGAAAGACACCACTACCCGTTTAGCACACGTTTAGTCAAAGGATGTGACGAGCTGTACTATGGTGCTACAAATGGCGATACTCACTGACGATGCTGACTACGATGCCGGCCAAACGTCTGGGAATGTACCACGTCCACGGTCCAATTTTTGAAATAATCATACATACAATGGACTCCGGACTAGGTACGTTCCTCTAAGTCTTCCTACCAATGTGACCAAGTTGCGAAAACAAGGTCAAACAACTTCTAATTGATCAACTGTTTATCAAAGAACCTTGCCATCAAGGCTTCTATTCAGCCTAAATTGATCATGAAAACTCGCTTCCTACGGTACTGGATATTAGATTTTCGCACAAACCAATCAGATTTGAGCGTTTTAGAAATATCATATTTGTTTACTATTTTGAATTGCTCGAAAGTTCTTACGATATGGTTGTTTATTGAGCGAACTTTTTAGTAATGAGAAAGGCACACTTGTATATTTACCATATAAACTGCCCAGAAGACTATTTATCTTGGCGCTATCCTTTCTTTTGTTTTTTTGTTGGTATTTCTTTACGTTCAGTTACCGACATACATGCACAGATTCAATCTCTTCATCTTAAGGAATAGATTTGGCTTCTAAACTAACGATACAATAGCTATTTATAGCCCATTCTCCATTAACCAGTATCGATGATATACTCTTAATTGGCTCATCAGTCTCCTGATAAACCTCCACTCACCCTCTCCGATATGCATGCTACTTGCACATCGTCATTTTTGGCGTATGCTCAGCAACTTTCCTCACATGACGGCTTTCTGTTCGCTCTCACTTCTGACACTGCGCATTTTCCGTGACTGAGTTACTTAGCCTTTATGCTACTCACTCATCATTGAGCTATCGTATGCTCACCAAAGTCCTTTTGGTGGCTACACTAGTGAAGTGTTCTCTAGGTCTGCATCCTTTGCGTCCCTCTTGCTCCATATCTCCCTGTTTCCACTATAGGTACGCACTGCTGCCTTCGCCAGCAACGGAACTAGGAGAGGCCGCTCTTCATCCCCCACTGTCTGTTCATCAGACATAGGTGTACCAAATAAGTCCCTTCTTGCTTGCCAGCACTCTCACATCGTTGGCTCCTCTAATGAATCTATAAACCAAGCAGCTCTTGCTCAACCGAGGTAAGACAACGCATACTGAACTAGATCCCTAATTTTTGGTGAAATGTTTAATGGTCCTAATGATATTGTTATTAATATACATTTTGTCTTTCTACTACTTTAGTTACGCTTCTTACCCTTTGATAATTAATATGTTTGTTTCCACAAATTATAAATATTTTCATAAATATGCCTCACCACCATCTATATATTTGTGAATTTTATTTCATTCGACACATCTTAAAAATATTTTGTCTACCGACTATGCAGGCTTTGCAACTTTGGTTATTTGGTTTCAAATGAAAGTTTTCCATTGCGTATACTCGTAGCTTGTTAAAAACTAGTCAACTTTTGCAATATTTTTGTTGATCTACTGTTTGTTTTATAAAAAGGTAGTTTTTTTCGTCGTCTGTTTTCCATTGCTGAGTAATTTTTGCAGGTTTTTTGTATATATTGTTCCCAGTCTATGTTATCCAGTCTTTTTAGTCCTACCGACTAGGCTGGCGGATTAAAATTACTTAGTCATTCAGGTTTTCTTAAAATGTAATAATATATTTATGGAATTTTTGCTTTTGCAATTTTGCTTGTTATGCGTAAAAAAAATGGTAGAGTTCATGTTTGCTGCCTCTTATTAATGCCCTTGCAATGAAACTGAACTAATGCTTTGAGTATTTAAAAAAACACCTTAGAGAACTACTTTAAGATAGATGTTCATGTCTTTAATTTTTT